TTCAGATCAATCAAGCACCTTTATTTTTTAACTGCCGCAGTCTGTCCATCGTTTCCAAACTTAGAGTTAGTAGTTAGATTGGCTAGAAGAGTATCACATTAGTCAAGTTTTGGTCAGAAAAATCTGAGATAAGTATCTAGAGAGAATTTTGGTTCAAAAGATTAGAAAACAATTCAAAGAGAAATACAAGCCCTATGCAGGCTAAGTGATAGACACCTTGTGAGTTATTAGGCATATCGGCCCTATACCTTATTTTCCTGTCTGTTTTATTTTGTAGAGTTTTTCTTGTTTTTCTTCCCGCACTAAACGTCTCTAATCGTGTCGAGGTGCTTCTCTTTACTTTAACTCGGGCCCAAAGACACTTTGGTGGTTAATAATGCTGACAATAAACTCGTTTTAAAAAGCTCGCCTTCTGAAGATGGCTTAATTAGAGCAACTTTTGAAAGTTATCCCTGTACAAAACTTTGCAGATTCTTGTGGTTCACAGACAAAGACAGCACAGGATGACCGATAACAGGAGAAGACGCAACAAAACTTGGTATGAATGGATCTAGTGATATTTCAATACATTGCAGCACAAACAAGTAACAAGTACATTGTAAAGAATTATCCGATACATTTTTAATATAAACAGCTCCCCCAATCTTTGCAGGCTACGGAGCACCGATAGTTTGTTAAATTTGGTTTCCTTTAAATTAAACTTTAAAGATTTTGAAAAACACCAGCGGGTTTTTTTTGTGTTTGGTTTTTTTCTCCGTTTAATTTTTTTGTGGGGGTGGGGGGTGGCTTTATATCTATACTGATGGGCTCCTGTCCATTGCAAGCTGAGAAAGAGAGTTCGATTTCCTCTAGCGGCAGATTATTTTATCAAGTATCTTCGTCTGTCTGATAGGATATTGTATGCCACTCAACCCGAGTTGGCCCGAACAGTGCAACATACATTATAATCAAAACAGACTGCCTCATTAAAATAATCAATTATGTTCTAACTTGTGTAGATGAGGGGGAAATAAACTACAAATCAACAAAATCGTTGCTCATACTGTAACTTTCACTAAATGTAAACCAGTAAGGAGGCTTCTGTATTTCTAATAAGATAGGGCCGACCAAATGTGGACACAGTACTTCAAATGCGGTGATGGGAAAACCATTTCCAAATGCAAGAAACGCCATTTTATAGTGCTGAAAAGTATTTGAGAAAAACATTTGGAATAACACTGACGCTATAGAGAGTTTAAAACGTTACGTTTTCTTTAAAAATTTAAACATAGTGTTACACTTAACAAATTTGTAAATTCATTTCACACAACTAAACGTGTCCTTCGCATGAACGAGAGGGACAGTAGTGATTTTGTGATCAAGTCATTCTGTTGGACTAAAAGTCAGTCAAAATTGTCCAACACGATCCCTCATTGTTGAAGAGAAAAGTGGTTGTCTTTGACAGGTGGACACCTTAGACAATGTTATTATTAATAGAAAAAGAGCAAATGGGAAAGAAAAGGGGGAGGGGGAGGGGGGTGTGGCTGCTTGTACAGGTGACTATCTTGAACAGGTTACCGTTCGAGCAGGATCGACTGCAATTAGAATCTGTAAGAAACAGTGTATTACAATTCACGGCATCCGTGGTCTAGTGGTTAGGCTTTCAGATTCGCAACCGTAAGGTTGTGAGTTCGAATCCTGTCAGGTGAGAATGGGTACCCATCTATAGAAAGTGAAAGATCTTTTCAGTTTGGTAGTGTTTGAGCGCTTAATCAGCTGCTTTGCATTGCATGCTTCCCGAAAAGCTGAGAATGTTTTCTGGGTGTTTTATGGTCTGCTTGGGTAATAATATAGTATAAAGCGCATAGAGCTTGCTGTATACCCCAAATGCTATTTATTATGTACGAGTATTATTTTTTATTACCCTTGAGTCGACGGCTCAGCTCTCTAGCAGTCAGGACATTGGCCAGTTTGCTCTGACCGTATGCCTTGAAAAACCACTTTTTGTTCTGGGGCCGGTGGTCAAAATCCATGGGCCAGACAAAGTACAACCAGGTGGACACAAAAATGATGCGACTGGGAGCCGAGGCTTTCAGTTTGTCCAGCAGCAACTGGGTCAGAAGGAAATGTCCTGAGGATTGTAGTTGTTGTATATTGTTTATTCAACGAACTTTCGTTTTTCCACATACATGTCTTTATAATTTTGACAGTTATTCTTTATATTATCTATATTATTATCTATGTTATATTTGTGAATTTTCGTCACTTTGGTCGCCTAACACTTTCGAACCATTCATCTTCCGAATTTGAAAAAAATTAAGGGTGGTTCAGAATCATTTAGTTCAGTTTTTCATTAGTTTCGTTTAGATCTAGTCTTGGGAAAGACCGTATTCTAAGACACCATTGCAAACCAGTGTGGCTTCCGTCCACAAGCAGTGCGCACTGTTCCACAATGACTTGACGATCGATTCTTTTGAGTCCGTTCATTGAACAGGTTCCTAGCTAGTATAGGCCTAAGAATGTCACATTCTATTACTGTTGTTGCCTTTTGCAGTGCATTTCCCGAAAAAAAACTATTTTTGTCACTTACTTCATGTTCTTTCTTTCTTCTCTTTGGCCTTTCTCATCTCCGCTTACAGAAGAGTGAAGAAACAAATGAACACACCATCCACCACCAGAAGAAACAACCGTTCACGTGTTAGCAAAACACTCATCCATGATTGATGTGTATTCACACGAAATATTTTCGAAGTTTTATTCTCTAAGGTTGTTTTTTTTTCTTCTTCTCTTCCCTTTTCGGTATTCTCTATTCTGAACATAGACGGCTATGACTATGAGGAGGATGAGCTGAGAGAAATGAGAAGGAGGAGGAACAATTTATTTTCACTGTCTTACCATTACATAATGTTGGGAAGAGGAGAGGAGGAAGATGAGGAGGAAGACGAGAAATTTTTCCTGTCTTGTCATTACATAATGTTAGTAAGAGGGGGGGGGGGAGAAGAGGAAGAGAGAGAGAGAGAGAGAGAGAGAGAGAGAGAGAGAGGGGGGGGGGAGAAGAGGAAAAGGAGGAGAAGGGACAGAAGGAGGAGGAGGAAGAAGAAGAGGAGAAATCTGACAACAGTGACGACCATTGGTTGGAAAGTGAAGAGAATGAGTGGGAGGAGAGATAATTCGTGAGCCACAACTTCACCGTAATGGTTCACTCCCATGTGTCTCTCCAGGCCGTCCTCTGTAGGTCTCTTGTTCCCCGTCAGGACGCCGGCGTTGTTGATGAGAATGTCGACACGGTCTTCATCTGTGGAAACCGAGTGGAAAATAATAATTATGACAATGATAACAATAATAATAAT